GCATTTTGTGAGGCATCAACTTAGGTTTTGTGTGATACCCTCTAAGACTTAGAAGACATTTTGATGATTGCTGTTAATTTAGATCTGAACTCTAGTGTTTCTACTGAGCTGGGGTTTTGAGGGTCAGGGTGGTTTAGATGAGGCATGTACATATTTAGGTGGCCTACGCCCTGGCCTTTGAGAGACAGATCTGACATGTATTCTAGGGGTAGTTGTCAGTGTGGGTTTAGTGTGGCTTGAGTTGAGCAAGCTATGAATTGGAGACACTTTCTGTGTGAGATATTGTACTCCCTTAGTGTATATAATGATGAGGGTTCCTTCAGGGACCATTTTTATATGTGACGATCACTTGTCTCTCTCACATGTGTGGTTGTACTCTGATGTATAATGAGTTTGTGTGGACAATGTGTGAAAAACCTTTTATGTATCTTGGGTATTGTGAATATGATTGTAAGTAAAACTGTCTACTCCTCGATATACTTGTGCAACCTGCCCACGACAGCTGATAAGGCAGAGTATAAGGGGAGGAAGCACAGTCCGTCTGTGAAAGTTATCTAAGTTGTGATGAGGACTCATAAGATGGTCTCTCAGTGATGTTCTGTTTTATGATGGGACCCCCTTAGATTTTGGAAAAAGGGGGGATGTTTTATGATGTTTTGTGATGTAACGAAACCCCTCGTGACTTTGAGACAGGGGGTGTTTGGTTTATGATGAGACCCTCGTGATTTCTGGAAGAGGGAATGTATTGTTTTATGGCGAGACCCCTCGCGATTTTTGGAAGAGGGGGTGTTTTGTTTATGAAGAGAACCCCTTTTGGATTAACGGAAAAGGGGAGTGATTTTTGGTTGGAAGACTCATCCTCAGAAGTGAGTAAATTGATTTATGGCATGACGAATTGTTTGATGGGTGATAAAGTCTGACGGAAAGGGTCACTTTTTGTTTGAAATGTTTGAGAAAGTCGCAATGAGTACAGGGCGAGAGATGTCTCAGGGTGGGTGGCTGCTGACTCTGATCAAGTCAGGGGTCACCGTCTGGTGGATTTAGCGGTGATTTTGCTTGTAAGCGTGCGAAGGATGCCATGCCTATTGAAGGAGAGATGGTAAATGCTTTCGGACCCCTTCGTATCGCGCAGTGAGCCTGTGATTTTGTTTTGTGATGCCCCGTCTAACCTCCTGTGCTAGTTCTTGGACATATTGAAGAAAGGCCAAGCTAACGGAAAAGAAGTTAGTACCTCTAGGGCGTAACCCCATTGGATGGCTGCTAACCAGCACAACCTGGTTGCGGGACCGCAGGGTAAGAGTTTAAGGGGAGTTACCCGCCCCAGGGAAATTACTCCATGGGATAGTGAAGGTTGAGATTTTGGGAGATCCTAATTGAGTGCTTATCAGGAGAAACCCTATCGTTGCGTAACCAACGAGGGTACTGCCGTTAAGTAACAATGCGGTGGACCGTAGTCTTGGTCCGATCAACCAGGCTATGGTAGGCCAAGATGGAGACCTGGCCTTTCTGTACTAGACTGCAGAAATAGCGGAGTGGATATTAAGTTTACACATATACTTATATGAATTTGATTGCGAGAGATTTTGAGAAGGAAGGCGAGAGTGCCTTCAAAGGTCTCGGTTAAGGCCCGCGTCCCTGGTTTTTGCCAGGACTAGGGACACCCAACGAGAAGCCGAAGGTTGTCTAGGATCGGGGAGAGGACGATTGGGAAGGTCTTTGGAACTTATGTTGTCAGCGTCCTAATTTCTGGGTAGTGAGAGACCTAGGTTCGAAACCTGGCAGCATATAGTTGTGGAGGCATGGTTTGATGGAGGCCTCTACCCTGTGTTTGTCGGCTAATCGGATTGGCTCACTTCTTTTCGTCAGCATTTGGAGTGTGAATGGATTTATAGCTTTCAGATTTGGCGAAGCGACGGGGACGTCGCTTAATATGGTCCGGTAAGGCTGTCGGTGCGAATACCCTTACAAGGGTATCCGCCTTGGTTTTTGCAAGTAACAAAAAAAAAAAACGGTTTTGGTTTAAAATTTAAGTATATCGCGCTAAGCGCGGCTGCGTCTGTAATTGCGTTGATTGGGTGGTTGACCACATGAGCGAGTGCGTGAGCGCGCAGGTTGAAGGCGCCCATGATTCTTTTCTGTTGTTGATCATAAGAGTCGGCTCGGACCTCGGTCCTTTCGTTTGGTGATATTATTATTTTTTATTAAGCAGGGATTAAGGATATTTTCTTTTTGATTAGTAGGTCAAGCGCGTGTGCGGAGAAACGACCCCGACGACGGCATCGACAATAAAGGCGCGATTTCGTGCGGTAAGCGGGGTGTCGGAGGATGGCGCGCGGGGTAGTTATGGCATGGTATAAGCAAACCGGCGCGGGCAAATGGGAGCCGCGCAGCCGTTTGGTTGGCCCAAAAGCGTCGCG